CATGACTCAGCAGAAAGTCTGCTGGATGTTAAAAGTCCTGGAGTTTTTTTCCTCTGGTAAAAATAGTCCACAAACGATCAACATTGTTTCTTCCTCGTCACAAATGTTTATTTACTCTGAACTCACGTCTCTGGAGCTCACGTGAGATTTTTCCTCTGATATCTGAATTCTCACGAGATTTCAGGAAGTCTCACGTGATTTAATATCTGACATCAGAATGTTCATGAATGAAATATCTTTTGGTGTGTGTTGTGTTGTCACTTGTTGTGTGTCTGTACACCACACACTGTAGGACCAAACCTGGTAGATCCATGATTTTCTGTCCTCATGTGTGACTCTGTCAGTCTTGTTGTGTGACTCAGGCCTTAGCTGTTGTGGCCATCACATATTTACTCTCTAAGATTTATAATCGAGTAGTTTATGAGATATTTTGCTTACACARCAGCCACACCYCTCCAGCCTTTAGTGGTGGGTGATCAGACTGTTCTGCAGATGTCACACTGAGCTGCAGGTAAAGTGTTTTTACAGGTGTGAAGACAACAAACACAGGTTTTATTCTGAAAAGCTGAAGTTTGGCCTCTGTTGTCCTCTAACCTGTGAAATGTCAGCTGCAGCTGCAGAMCTTGATAAGACATGTTTTAATTCATCTGGTGTCTGATAACCTGAAACATGAAGTCTTCCTGTGGGAGCAGGTCTAGCAGAGAGCCACATGTTAAATGTGAAGGAAAACTAATAATTYATCAGCTGTGAAGCAACCCTCTAACCCCCTCAGGTAAACAACTGCACTATCAAACCTTTCCTGATACTATATTTAAGCTTTTGTTCCAAATTAAATGTTGTTAGTCTTGTTAAACTGCCTGCAGTCACARTACACAATAAGTGCCTTCAGACAGTGTTGTTGGACTTCACTTTATCTGTGTTTGGATGTTTTGTTCTGCAGGATTGTTGAGTCATTTTACTGAACTCTAACAGTTCAGTGTTGTTGGTATTTCAGCTCGGCCCATTCTCACATGGTGGAGTTCAGGTTAGGATGACTTCTGCAGAGCTTCTTCCACACAAACACAGTGAACACATTGGGCCTCTGCAAGAACATGTTCGTATTCTTCTCCTAAATTTCTCTCGTACGAACATGTCACGTCAGATTCAACAAACTCTTCTATCTTCAGGAAAAGTGTGTAAATGAGCTGCGTAAATTCACCTGTTCTATCCAGCTGCTCGTGCACGTGAGAGGAGATTAGCATAATTACCACCCCAAAAACACCATATAAGGCTATGTTTCTGTTACGTTTTGACTAGGAGAAGAACCCAAATCCGGACGGAGGTAAGAGTTTT